TGCTTTCGTTGACTTCTTTAAATTATGGTTTACTGAATCGCTCCTATAGGTGGTAGATATTTAACCTTAAACCCTTCACAAATTCTAATTGTAACAACTCTTTAACCTTTATAATATAGGTATAAAATAAGAAAATGAATACTTAAATAAACAAAAGGTTTCGTAAAAAAAAGATTATTAATAAGTCCTTCCTTAAGACTTAATCTTGGATTTTGGTAGATACTTAAGTACTAAATTTAATTTTTTTTTTCTGGACACTACATATATGAATGTACATATAAATGATGTTGCATTAGTTTCGCATTTTTTTAAAATATGTACCTACACTTCTTTTTCTTAATTTTCGCAACCGAATTCCGTATGACATTTTAAACATTCGCGGTGTAGTTTTTGTATGTATATAGAACTTTGAATAACAACAATAAATCGATTCGGTTCACATGAGAATTCTAATGCATTTGCTTTACTTCCTATAAAACCGTATCCATTTAGTGGCAACCTACGGCCGATGGTGTGATTGCAAAACTTCGAAAAACGGATAACCAACAGCAGTAGGTCGGTATCGCAAACGCTTACTACAAGTAATTTATAGCGTGGTCTCTAGCAATTTTTCCTAAAGGTTCTGATTCATTCGAGCGCGTGAGCGTGAATAAGGAAAACTCAGCTCGCAACCATAACTTGTTAGTTAATGGCTCGAATTTATACAATGGACATTACTATATCAGGTTTTAAATACATATGTAGATATATTTTATTATTGGTTTTAAGACCTAGTTTCATACTACTATGAGCAAAATGTACGATATATCTCTTGATATTTTAATAAAACAAAATAGAAATGATTGAAATCCTTACGTTATAAAAGTGTGACTCCGTTTGTAACCCCTCTCCATTCAAGGGTATCAAGCAAACACCAATATTAAAGCCTTACATGCTGTCATAAGTTAAAATCTTATTGTAAGGTCTTGCACTCAAATTATTGATACAGAACTCAATCTAAACTAATATAAAAGTCTGTATTTTCTTTTGTTTTATGCAGCAAATATTGTTAGCAATAAAGGCCCCCTTTTTAAATTGTTTTTAATAACTGATTTTAAATATATTGTAATATATTTTAGTTTTACACATGTGCATTATTCCATATAAAAGGTTTTTAATTTTTTGGTTTTTGTTATTAAATCAAACACAAATGTGTAGATATATGTGCGTATATGAATATACCTAATGGTGAAAGTTAATGTAATAGTCTTATGACAGTCTGACTAGACGTGATATTGATACTTAATTGAATTATAGTAGGTGAAGATCGAGGGTACAGTAGAGTGAAGATCAAGGCTCACATCAAGCACTGAGTTATTATACTTAGATGTGCATATTAATCTGACGGCCTATTATAATGGCTTGAAAATCCACTTTATTGTTCAAGTTTAATATTACGTAAAACACTGCAATGGGATTTGGAGGAAATTTCAAACGGATTTTCTTTGTTTTCATTCAATGACGGAGAAAAGCGTTCCGCGGAATGCTTNTTTAATTTTCAAAATTGTGTATTTATTTGTATTTGAATAATGGTATGTAATTAAATCAATTGTTATTATTGTGAATATATTTGTACGTTTAATGAACTCTGTAAAATAGTTTGGTTATAAGATGAAAGCACTGTTGCCTTCTGAATAAAATTAATTCATAAATAATAACTACTACAATTAAAAAAGTACTGTATTTATTGATCCTTTCCCGTAGGTTTACACAATAATTAGACAAAATAAACATACAGTAATAAGCTTCAACATTTCTTACTGTTAAACAACTTCATGCAATTGATAATGTTTGGACTAGGTCTATGCCTATTCTTTCTCTACTAATACTAACAGTATTACAGAGGAACATAAAAATACGGAGTCCACTTGTACATATTTAAATATTATCAGTCTTATGTGCTACAAGTTACCTGATAAATTCTATTATTTCTACAACAAAGTCATTTAGGTACACTAGAAATTGGTAATTTTTGCATTTTCATAAAAATTTTGTTTTTTCCATGTTGTTTGTAAATGATCAATTTGAAATTAAATAGTGCATGCATCTAAATGCATAATACACCCACCAGTTTCAGGTCGAGAACTCATCATTAATTGTAAATCTGTCACTAAAGGTGAGTGTAATTCTTCTAAAAATATTAATAGGAATTTGGAGTAAAGAAACGCTTATTCAATTGTTTATTATAAAACAGGTAGATAATATGCAGAAAAGTGGCTTTTAGTAGATGCAAGGTACTGCTGTTACGTGTTAATTTTATTCAAGTAGGTGTTAATTAGTAATAAAATAAAGTAAATGACACTCATCGAAATTGTAAACTTATAATAATGATACAAGATTAAAAAAAAAAAAATAACGGTTGTGCAATGTAAAGTTGTAAAAAATGGAAAACTTTGCGGTGTCACTCATTCCCTGGTACGTACGTAAGTAATTTTAAAAAGAATTGCTCGACTAACGTCCTTAGAATTGTATGTTAGTTTACAAATGGAAAGGAGTAATGAATGAAAGGAGCAGGGTTCGCAAAAATAGCCCGGAGCAGGAGTGTAGCAGCTTTTTTAAACCTTGGACGGTGGATACTTTGTTATTTTCGCATAAATAAATAATTAGGGCTTTCCTTCGAAAGATAACATTTTCAATGAAAATAATTGACTTAAATAAACACATTTCTACGTAAACTTAGTCGTACGTGTGGGTCCTTGAATCACCATTTGTTCAATATTCTGTTTTTATTTATTTCTACATATTGCGCATTATTGATTCAACAGTACTTGTAAACTGCATAAGCGATTTAATACATAATTGCAATGGTCCACACCCAATGTTACGTTTTCTTTTTCTTTTTACTATTCTAATTATTACATACACTTCCAATATTTTTTTACAATAAAGCGCCGATTAGCAAAATGATAAATAGCAGTATAAATCCGTTACGTGTAATTATTACGAAACAGTAACGTTATCGACAGAGAAATAATGAAATTTTATATTTGTGCACGGATGTAACAAAATATGAATGAAGCTGACTATCGCGAGATATATTTATTCTGGAGCAGCCTCCTGTTACCTCGAACCGCGATCATGTAAATGTATCAGTGAAAGTTCAATGTATCAACCCATGTTTCTAGCCCCATCTGGTTTCCGTATACCAGTATCTGAATTAAACGGCCATGAAGGTATTACCCCTCCACGTGCATATAAAAGCCAACGTCCAGGCTCTCAATATAGTTCGTTAGAAAATTCCAAATACAGTAAACATGAGAGTTCTCCAGGTAAGCAAAAACACCTGCAGTAAACGTTCATTTAGTTGATGTAAAAATCGATTCATTTTAGATCTGCTCATTTGCCCTCCTAATTGCCAGTAGCGTCTTCTGTGAAGATGCCAAGAAAGAAAAACGTGGACTTCTTGGTTTGGGCGATGCTGCTTTGATTGGTGGCGCTCTTGGTCATGGTGTTGCCCTTGGAGGTCTTGGACATGGTATCGGTATTGGTCCAGGACTAGTAGGTTCCGCTCTTGCTGGACCTGGACTTGTTGGTCCTGGCTTAGGTCCGATTGCAGTTGGTCCACCAAGAACTCATTCACACTCAATCAGTACCGTGGACAGAGCTGTTCCTGTCGGAGTACCTGCTCCTTACGCCGTCCCTGTGAACCGTCCAGTACCAGTAGCCGTCCCGGTTGATGTACCCGTTGATGTTCCTCGACCATACCCTGTAGACCGACCTGTAGCAGTACCTGTTGATGCTCCACGTCCCGTACCCGTTGATGCACCAAGACCCGTTCCAGTGTCTGTGCCACACCCTGTTCCTTATGATGTGCCAAGGCCTGTTCCTTTGCCTGTACCAGCTCCAGTTCCCGTCCCAGCTCCTGTTCCCGTTGGTGTACCTTCCCCTGTACCAGTACCGGTTGACGTTGGTGTTGGTGTAGTTGGTCACGGACTTGTCGGTCCTGGTTTAGCTGGTCCCGGTTTAGTTGGTCCCGGTTTAGTTGGTCCCGGTTTAGTAGGTCACGGTTTAGTTGGTCATGGTTTAGTTGGCCATGGTTTAATCGGCGATGGTCTCGGCGGTCACAGAACCCTCCTTTCGAAACATCTTTAATTTTCAAAATTGTGTATTTATTTGTATTTGAATAATGGTATGTAATTAAATCAATTGTTATTATTGTGAATATATTTGTACGTTTAATGAACTCTGTAAAATAGTTTGGTTATAAGATGAAAGCACTGTTGCCTTCTGAATAAAATTAATTCATAAATAATAACTACTACAATTAAAAAAGTACTGTATTTATTGATCCTTTCCCGTAGGTTTACACAATAATTAGACAAAATAAACATACAGTAATAAGCTTCAACATTTCTTACTGTTAAACAACTTCATGCAATTGATAATGTTTGGACTAGGTCTATGCCTATTCTTTCTCTACTAATACTAACAGTATTACAGAGGAACATAAAAATACGGAGTCCACTTGTACATATTTAAATATTATCAGTCTTATGAGCTATCTAATCAGATTTTTCCATAACCCTTTGTTAAATAAAGGTGGTATAATACTTCACTGCTTATCGCTAGCACTTTTGTCAATTTGTATCACATTACTTTCATTATCTTGGTGTGAAAATTCTATTGTTGGTTTTCTTTGAATTTTGTAGTATTGAAAAACATAAGCAATTACTATCGGAAGCACAACTAAAACAAAATAAGCTTTTGTAATTCAACCAAGTAACTTTTTAATAATTAACAACTTACTCATTTCGGCAAAGAGTGGTACATACGCACACCATATTTTGTAATTAATACCCTTATCAATATAAGAAACTAATATTCCTATTTGTATCGCCAAAATAATAATTGTTGCTCCCATAATTACAATTAACCATAGTCTTAGTAGTTGTAAATCATTCTGTAAACAAAAAATCATATTATTAAAGAAATCGTTGTTCATTTTAATAGTTATAACTACATATTTGTCTGTACTTAATTATAGTAGAAAAACCACCGTTGATAATTTTGAAATATGTAAAAGTTAAAACTTAAATTGAATCAACTATTACAGGATTTATTCTTGTAATTGTTAACGCTGTAGATAAATGTTATGAATAAAATATACACTACGTTTCTGAAAAGAAATATTACATGCATTTAGCTGCAGAAATTGTTACTTTACTATGTAGTGTTTGCTATGATGATAATAAAAAAATTACTTAATATACAATTCATTTGCGTCCTGTTGTTATGTTATCATAATAACGTATGATGAGTCCGTCCAAATTAGGACTACAGTGCGCGTTGTCGGTAGTGACTACATTTTAATTTTACATATACAGAACGGTAGTCTTTAAAGGGTTAAATCGATAGCCTTTACGGCACTTCACGAATCTCTTAATGGTTTTCTACAATTTTTAACCAAAAATTAAATTTTTCAACCGTCTATAAACGGCTAACTGGCTAATGAAGATACGATCAGACAAACCAGCGTTAGAGTATTATTATATGTGAAAAGATTAAGGTAAATTTTGACAAAGGAGATTTAAAAGCTAATAAATGGCTAAAGATGAATTACTTACCCGTAGGATTCCGATGAACAGTAAAACTGCCAAAACAAAAGGAATAACATGAAGAAATTCCAAAATTTCGATGTAAAGTGTACCCACTAAAAGTAAAAAAGAGTAAAACATATAACTAAGGACTACAATTGTATAAAAAAAAAATTAATTAAAATGAATACCGGTACTTACTAAAACAATCATCTGTACAACTTCTTTCTTGTACATCTATTATTATAAATTCAATTGTAACAACAGTATGGAGAACCTAAAATGTTATCCAAAATAAAAACGGTTATTCAAGTAATAATTAATAAAGTGCATTTAATGAAAACATCGTAATCAGTTGAAACGTTTAAAATTTGTAATAATTTCCACTGAAACATTTTGTAATATTAAAGAAATACAAGACCAGCTTACTTTTTAATGTTTCAATTCTTTTAGAGTTTTATTCTACGAATGTTTCAGGTTTTTAGGCTTTTTTTCAAGAGTACTAAACCCAAGCCAAAAGATGTATTTACTTAAATAGGTAGATGAATTTATCAGGTAAAATTACTAAGTCGCTATGTTAGAAAATATTTATCGAAAAAGGTCGATGAATTTTCCAGGTAAAATTCATTTTCTGTTTTAATAAATATTTCATGGGATAGATTTAGTAACTAACAAATTTTGGCAAAGACTCAAAAAGCTGAAACAATTGTATTAAAGTAAAACTCTAAATATGTTCAAACATTAGAAAGCAATATGGTTTTATTTCTTTAATGTTATAGAGTTTTCCCTTAAGAAATGTCACAATAAGTATATTATTAAATAATTAAATACCATTTGAAAGCCAGAAAGCCACAATAACATTGTCCTGGATCCGTTACAGTATAGACCCATCTTTAATAATGTAACTGTAAACACTACAACACAGTTATAATTTCTCTTTACAATTGCTGCTATTTCCGAACAAAATTAACAAAATATCTATTTGGTGATAAAGGCTAACAATTTATATAAGTGTACAGTATCTTGAATTTTGCGCTTCCTATTGGTGGGTGTCGTTGATAGGTTGTGTATGATAAAAAAAAAAATGCGAGCAAATTTTGTAATTGTCAGGATAATCCTGTGACGATTTATTGACCGTTTTACATTCGGAAGACCTCTAATTATGTCGTAAAATATTAGTAACCTCTTAGCTGGCGGAATAAAGCATGTTGATTATTCAGTATTCCTGCGAGGGTAATTATTACGCTGATTCCAAACTAACCATTCAAAATATTATAACTTTTATAACAGTGATATTTAAACCTAATTATGTAATGTTTGTAAAAAAGAAAAGAAAAAGAACAACAAAAAAGATTTGTGTGGGTTTCACTGAATTTAATGGGAAATCTCTAAAGGCTATGTTATACGGCGTCTGAATTTTCAATAGGCGCTTCGTGTAATGTGGCCTTAACATGATCGAATGGTCATTTTCAGAGAGTGATTTTTTTTAAATGAATCTTTAATTAGTTAGTACTTGAAAGTTTGTTATTACGTTTAGTGTAACCCGCACGTCTTTTTTTGATTACTCCCTTATCTTTTTTCAATAGTAGTAGTTACTTATCAAATACGTAAACGTAAATCAGTCTGCTATATCAATTATCTTTTTTTTTTAAAAAAGGACGTGTATTAGCTACACGTGCACACTTCAAGAATCAGTTATTTACTTTATTAGAATGAATACCGTTGCTAGTCTTTTTGAAAATGTGTTGTTTTCAATTATTTTCATATTTGGTGTTTTGTTAATATTATTTATGGAAGTGAAAAAGCTTGCTCCTAATATCTTGGAGATAATTTAAAGTAAACACCTATCTACGACCTAATATTTTCACAACTACAATTAATTGAGACAAAGCCAAGATTGGCTTATGAAGTCAAAGTTTGTGAAATTCTTGTCGTATTTTATTCACAAATTTTGTTACCTAATGGTTTTTTAATCTTTTAAATGTTAAATTACCATTTGAATGTACCTATCATCATTTACAAATTTTGAGAAGGATTAATTTAATCGAATGAAACACTCGACTTATTATTCCAAACGGTGAAAACTTAGGGAAATGAAAAATCATTTGCATCCTTTCGTATACTTATGACGATAAACATATGAAAATAAATGTGGCAGAGCACCAAGTACAAGGTATTGATAAGAAACGATATGACATTAACATTACATTAACGTCAAAATTGCAGTGGGTAATTTATTAGTAGTTAAGTACAATTTTTTATAAGTAGTGAAAACTGTTTAGTAATTTATCATTCTACTTCTTTTTGATTTCTAATTTATCAATTGCATACTATTTTGATAAATATGTAGGTATTTCGATAAATATATACATAGGTATTCATGTACATCGTCAATCTATGTTAATCTTGCTAACTTTGAACTCGAATATATTTTCTTTTTGAGCCTGTTACCTTGTAATGAAGGGCTCTGGTATTATTCCTTAAAATTAAAAAAGTGCTATACGTTATTAAATAAATAAATGTCATTAAAAAGCGTATTGAATGGGAATTTTTGATTTTCGACTTCATCTCCGGAATTTGTTTCTAACAGAAAATTAAATGTTCTCCCTGTTACAAGGCTGTAAGCATGAACTACATTGTGAAGTTTTATATTCCTTTAAGAGTTGAATAAACACTTTTTCATGAACTCTTTTGCGTTCTATAATAAGGTCTGCAATCCATTTCTGAAGTGCGGAGGTGTAATTAATACTTCTAGTTATCTAACAAATACCTCGAAAGAAGAACCTTTACATTTATTTTTGAAAAAGATAAAAACACAATTTACTAAATTTTAACATTTTATTTTTTACTAAGTACCTACAGAACTTATTTTAAATGTTCGTAAATTTTTTTCTAGAATCAACATTTACCTGTCGTTGTAATACTTATTGTAGAAGTATTGCGAATTTATATTCTTATCGTTATGGAAAACTAGAAACCTTTTTGTTTTATATTTATGCTTTGTTGTGTGAGAACTTATGGGATACGCCTAAATTAGTTGAAATAACAAGATTATTAACTTTCAACTATAATTAATGCAGCAAGTCAAAGTTTAAGTTCTTGTAACTTTACAACAAATTAAAATAGGAATGCCCAATTTTTTTATCTGGAATATCATAATCTAGAAAATTTATAATAATCATGCTGTAAATTATGTTATAAAATTTTGCATAAAATGCAGCAGTTTAGATAACATTTTTGGAGCACTCTGTACACTTACCGTAGTATCTGTTTCTGAAACGGAAACTATTCCCAATAAAAAGGCCAAATGTTGAGGACATGTTAGCCTCAGGCATGTGGATTATTAAAAGATTGCTAGGTATTGTAAGGACTTATTTTGAAGGATAATAAGTAATATTACGCAACAGAAGTTCATTTCGCAACTTGAAATTTGATATAAAGTACAAAACATTTTCTGTACCCCCATTGTATCATTTAATTATGAGAATATCAAATAACTTTTCTTATATAGGTAACAAAAAAAATTACACATATGTCACCTGCAGGCAGATTACATTCAATATTCCGTTATGAATTAAAGCGATTGTTAATATTTACTATAAATAATTTACTAACATTTAGTATGCTTAGATTTGTAGATGATATAGCAGTATTAGGATCTAGAAAGGAGGAGTTAGATGTTGCTTTAAATAAAATGGATGCGGTATTGACAAAACAATATTATACGAAAATAAATAAAAGTAAAACGAAAATATTGATATGCAAGGGAAGAAAAAGTAGAAAAAGAGCGAATATAAAGATATAAGACGAAAAATTAGAAGTGGCTGATTTTAAGTCAGAACGAAAGGAGTAGTAGGGATATAAAGCCAATGATAGCGCAGGGTTGAGTCGCCTTCAATAAAAATAAGTCACTTCTACGCTCGCGAACGGTTAATTTAGAAATTCGAAAAAGATTGTTAAAGGCGAATGATGAGGATACAGTGGATAGAGAATGTTAGAAATGAAGAGGTATTAGAAAGAATAGAAGAACAGAGGACTCTATGGAAGTCAATAAGAAATAGGCGAGATAAGTTCTTCTCTCTCGTCTCTTCTCAGGCATGAAGGTCTAGTCAGAGTCATATTAGAGACAGAAACAGGAGTTAAAAGGAGTAGAGGTAGACCTAGATTAGATTACTGTTCGCACATAGTTAAGGATGTGGGTTGTTCTAGTTTTGGGGAAATTTGAAGATTATTGCAATTTATGTAGGCATTAATAAGCAGTCTTGCAGAGCTAAATAGAAACGATTTATGAATACTGTCGAAATATTATTGTAAATATATTGTTTCGACTAAAAAATAAATACAATAAATAAGAAAAAGGTGGATTTATGAAAAAGAAAGTATCGGTATTGTTACAAATGAAACAATAATACGCTTTCCGGTATTATTGCAGTTGTTTTTAATGCAAGTTATCTTTATTATACCATTATCTTTGAGTAAAGCCAACCTTAGAAATTCACCTTATCCTCTTTTAGTCAGAGATCGATCAAACATAAATAATGTTAATGCAAATATGATGCTTTACAAGTTGCAGTGTTGTGCATTATTGTCAAAAGAACAGGCATATAAAGTCACATTGTTAAAATGCGTAAGTTTTTTGTATTTATTTTTGTTAGTTACATTTATTTTCAAACGTAATTATTTATTATTGTTAAGAACAATAAATAATGTTCTCCTTTGCATTCCCATCGTTCATTTTATATTAAATGTTGAAAATAAACTGGTATTTAGAACCTGAAAGATATTTTTTACAATTAAGTAATTAGATATTTGTTTTTTTTAATACCTTTTGTCGTTATTTGAAAATATGAAAATGAAGTTTTCTAAAACACTTATGTTTTAAACTCATACTATTTTACCTCGAACTACTTTTAAATCGACAAATTTAAGCTTAAGAAAATGTAATCCCTAACAAACAAGATAATATTGATCAGATAGATAATCTTTATTCATCATTACACCAGTTATATTTTTTGTGCAAGTAAAGAAATACCTTATAATACTTAATTTATGGATACATAAAATGAGAAAAGTCCGTAAAAGTTTTTTTGGCTCACAGTAAAACAATGAAAACCAAATTATTTTAGGCTCTGCTAAAACTTCGCCAAAACGAATATCCCATAATGTGACTGTCAAAATGTCCTTCCTGTCAATTGTTAACGACTAAGCCTTAAATTCTCAAAAAAGTTTCCTTCTTCATCAAATTGGCATATATATCCATTATCTCCCAAAAACTATTGAAATGTATCAAATTTGTTTCCATTTCATATCTGGTATTTGAAGAGCGGTCCTCTTTCGTTGAGGTATTTAAATATAAATATTAACTACTTTCTGTCGTCGATATGTAAATATTATTTGAATATTTTTTGTCTAATATTCATTTGCGGAATATTCATGCCTAAATAGGAACATCCCATTGGGCAATATTAGATTGTACTGGGTTATGCGGACTTACTATGGATTTCTTACAAGGTCCAAGACCCGTACATTTCATTACAACCAAATATTTATTGCATTTGGAAACGAATGGGAACATTTGACGCAAGATTCCATTTTCAGCAGTAATACATAATTTTCTACACAAAACTTTATGAATTTTTTCTTAACTTAACTTGCGTTATTTTGGCCATCCCTTTGGATATTTCATGAGGTAACAATTAGGGTTTCGATGTGTTGGTTTGCCTCATTATTTCCTTATATTGCGTCCGCATTTGTATCTAGAGTACCTAAACTGAAATCCAACCGAGAAGGGGCGACATCCCAAAACAACAGACTAAATACGTAACAATCGTGCTCTTATATCTTTTTATTTAAATTCTGACGGACCATGTCGAGAATTTAATAAATCCCACCAAATGTAGTATTGTACAAATGACGTTTATTACGGTGTTTGTAGTAATTCATTAGAAAGTCTTGTTAGTATAATGGTACATATAACAGTATATTTGCACCATTTGAAATAAATACCATTGCCTATTGGAAGAATCTTTTTGATTATTTCAGATAACAGACTTTCTTGCAATGTTATTGTTGATATATGGATTTTCAATTGGCAAAGAAGCAATACATGGAACAGAACAACAAACTGAAATACATTTTCTTCTCATAGATGCATTGGCAGCTGTTAGTTCATTTTTACTTACAATTCTTACTTGTGTTTCATTGATATCGGTAAGTTTTAAAAGTCAACTGAATCAGTTTAGGTACTGTTAAACAAAACCTTCGTGTTAGTGAACAACGTTCAAGGAAATTTTCTTCTAAAAGCGAATTTTGTGACAAGAAACTAAAGCAATTTTAGAAACGCAATATTCATTTTTTTATACGGTGTAATCTAAATTTATATCAGTGTTCTAAATTATAGGAAGATTAGGAGCTTATTATCTATCAAACTGTATTATAGAAAATTGTTAATATGTATTTTTATTATCAAGTTCTTATAATTATCATTAATAAAAACGTGGCGTTGACACATTAGATTTGAAAACGTTATCAAAACTCGACAAATTTTAGATTAGCACAAAACGATTTCCATTACAGTTTTAGATAATTTGCGAAACAAATTATTGTCGTTTCGTCATCGAACTATAAGAACGTGGTTACATTGGCGTAGCACCTAAAAGTTAATATTTAATTTTTATGACAAAATCTACTTCATTAATGTCTCTAAAATGTTCAAAAATGGGTTTACATCTACAATTCATACTAAGCGTAACATATTTACCTTATAAATTTTGTTTAAAGACTGTTGTACCTAATTTTAATTTTCTTTTCTTTGCAGTCATGTCTTGTAGGTTTTGGAATTTGCCTATTATTTGGTATGATTCACTGTACACTGTTCCTCCTAACTATTTTTGTATTTGGGGTAACTTATATGACTCCACCATCACACTATATTGTTTCCATTTTTATAGCAGTGTCGGTAATATACGCGGGTAGGAAATGCAATGTTAATAAGGTTTCTTCCGTTCAACTTCATTTCCTTGTATTTTTTAGGCTTTCTGTGCGCTACTAACCTCATCTTGGTTATGTTTTATTTTACATATAGGGAGCGATTGATAAGAAAACAGAATTGTCAAGGCTCATCTCCAAAGATTTCAATTTCTTCGAGTGAAACTAATTTTTCAGGTGTTGCTATAACGCGAATTTAACTACGTCATCGTACTTTGCAAAGGAATTTTTACAAGCTAGTTATCTATACCGTACGTCAGTGATATTAATGAGTCCTTTATTAAACTTTTTTTGTACCTAATTTTTCATTTTTTTTATCACTCTTCAAAATTGTAATAACTGCTCTAGACACATATGATTAGTAGGAATTAATCTCAATTTCTAATAAATGTACAGTTATCATATTATAATCCGAAAGTATTGACGTATTTTAGTTGTGTAACTTTTCTGCAACAACTTTTTAAAATATGTGATATTATTTCTCTCCAAAATGACCGCTGTTTAGGGGAAATAATGTAATGTTGATTGAAATGTGCTTGACGTGTAATGTTTTTCTGCTTTTTGTGAAGATATTAGTTTGAATAAAGGCTGATCGGGTGTAAAGTTAAATAAAATGTATTTTGATTATTGCTAATAGGTATTCATAAACAACGTCCGACTACAAAAATTTAAATCTAGTTTAAATAATAAAATTGGAGTATCTATGTATTTTATTCGATAAATTTTCAAATTAAATATTTTTTACATCAAAAGATACATAATATAAAAGCATATTTTCTTATTTTAGAATAAATTTATTCTAATTATCAATCCGCTAAAAGTAAAAGCATAAAAGTATTGACATTAATAAATTATCAACTTTAAGCAAAATCTTCATCATCTACTATTATTTGTAAAAATATAAGCTGCTATAGACGCTATCAATCATCCTTCTGAAAAATGCACCATACTGCGCTGGTAAATGCATCAATTAATTTAATGTTAATCAGTTAGGAACTTATTTCAATAGTGGGCACCAGAGTATGTACCAATATTAGCACAAATAGATTTACAGATTTTCTCGTCCTGTGTCCTGTATTCCAACTTTATATTACTAAATCTTTTTACAAATTTTAAACAATAAAATATATACTATAATGAAAATAGTTTGCTTCAGGAATATCGATGAAGCTATGGAACCGTGCAGACGAAATAGATAAGTAGTTTCACTGATTTCTTCAGAAATTCAATCTCTTCAAATATATGTAGTAATTACGGACAAGGAAAATGTTGTAACCACCTATCACTAGAAAAGAGAAAATACCTCTAAATATTTCTAAAAATTCTTCAATAATTACTCATATATTTATTAATATTTTTAACTTTTATTGGGCGTACGTTGACAAGATGCAAATATCGTATGTACTTAGAATACATATTATACGAAGTAATACTCTCTAAAAATTAATTAGTGGATTTTTACTAATTTGCAATTAATAATGGTCAATCATCTTCACAATTATAATAGTACCACTGCAAACTAGTGAATATTAACTGAATTGGTAAAAAATAAATTAGTAAATGAAAAATATTAACTGAATCAATATGTCTTGGTAAAAAGTTCTATGGAATAATATGGAGTTTGTCGTTCATAAACTCAAACAAATTTTTTTAACATAATTGTTTTCTTGCGTTAATAAGCTGTTCGGTATTATTATTAAATTACTTACACGACACTATTGATGCAATTAGTAGATGCCCAGTGAAGAATGCAACATGGCTTGCATTAGAATGTCTTACAAGAGCTGCAATTGTGCCCAAGATGTAAACTGCCAAACTAATCGGGTTGAGTATCAGCCAGGGAAGTAATAACAGGGGACGATTCTGTAAACATATTTTTTCATTGACTTATTTACCAAAAAACATTGAGTTTAATGTAGCTTCAGATCATGATTTAGATCTCATTATTACCGTAAGTGCTCCAAATATGATCATGATTGAAAACACACACTGCAACGCGTTTGCAATACTCAAGATGACCAGGACAGTTTTCAGAACTGAAAATAAGAACAAATACTAATTGTAAGTAATATATATTGCAGTCAAAATTACTGAAATATTGTAATAACTGGAAGGAATGTATATATGAGTTATAAAATAAATTATAATTCAATAACACCGTGGATCGCACATAGGGTTGCCACCTTTTCAGGCTTTACATAAAGTATTTCTCGACTAAAAGGTTAAAAAAAATGCTGTCGCTCTTAAATACGTTAATAGCTTCTAAACATGGCAAACAAAGATCTAAGTAAACTAAAAGTTCATTTTTAATTAGTTTTAATGAAGCTTTATTCCTGTCGTCCCGCCACTTTGCGTTCATAACAGAGAATACTCTTTCTGTAAATGCTGAAGTNTTGGTTAAAAATTTTAATAATTAACATACTAATAATAAAGGAAGACTTCGTGCAGATATCAAAGACTCGACAACATGTAATTTTTTTTCACACACGCTACTCGGCAAATTGCCGACGTCATTGTTAGGAATTACTGCAAGGATTCAAAAAGCTATTGTTAAATGTAACATGCTCTATACTTTCGTAATAAGTAGTAGTATATAGTCTATGCTTTTTTAACTTTTATTAATTACTACATAGTACTTGTTAGTTATACATTATCAGGTATGTAAACAGTGGAATCATTAGAAGATTAGAGTAGAAAAAATCGAAATATTTGTAAAAGACTTAAGAAAGTCCTTATGGTTACTTATTATTTCATTTCTAGTGAAGAGTTTTAAGTCACTTCTATGATTGCGAACGGTTAATTTAGAAAGCCAAAAAAATTTTAAAGGTGTAGGTATGCCTCGAGTAAGGCTCTGTACGGGTGCGAAACATGGATGGCAGGCTTGACGAAAAAAAAGGTTAGAAGCGGTGTTATAGGCGAATGATGAGGATACTGTGGTTAGAGAGGGTTAAAAATGAAGAGGTATTAGAAAGAGTAAGAGAACGGAGTCAATAAGAAGCAGGCGACTCAGCAGAAACAGGAGTTTAGAGGGGTGAGGTAGACCTAGATTAGATTACTTTTCACAAACAGTTAAGGATGCGAGGAGTTCGAGTTTTGAGGAAATGTAAAGATAAGTTCAGGGTAGGAAAGAGTGAAGAAGTGAAGAGTGTCCAACCAGTTTTAGGACGTACGACCTTATGATGATGATGCAGACATCTAAAGATTTTCGCGTTTCATCTGACATGTATTAAGTTTTCTTTAAAGTGTAATATAAACGAATATCGGCGAGCAGTATTTGTACAAAGTTTTATCATTTGTTTGCTCTATCTACTGACCTACTACAGATTTGATCAATAAAATACTTCGTTGAAGTATTCGTGTTTAAAACAGTTTAGTAACAATCAACTATTATCAAATGCAAGTTTTCTTTATTTTGGAATTTGATTTGCTGTAAACTTGTTAGCAGTTACCGTAAGTTTCCACTAACGTCAGTTGAAGTTTTTATAATTCAGTAGATAGAGTGAACAAAATAAAAAAGCTAAATATTAGCTTTATTTACATTTTTAAGAAGATCTGGATAACAATGTAAACTTATAAGTAGTATTTCTTAGAGTCTTCATAAATGTAAAAGTTTAGATCGCCTGCACAGGGTTCTGTAGTTGATCAAGCAAGTTGTCATCCATGAAAGGATTTCGAAACTTTACAATTCTTTAACCCAATACACTAAAAGAGATAGTACAGATAAAATGAATGATCGATTTCAAAGTTTAATAACTCATTAGTTTAAGAATAAAGGCTTTCACGGCCGGAATCCATAGTAGAATGCAGATTCGGGCTATAGGGCCGTGGTCTAAGTGAACGATTCCGTCCAGACGAACTATAGAATGTCACCTCAAGGTAGGCCTAGTGGCGTCATCTCTTGGTTAGGCCGGAAACTTATCAATCCACCCTCGTAGAGTACAATACTTTATAATAAAGTACGGGTGGCAACCCCAATCGCACAAGTCAAAATTGACTTAAAGTAGGTTCAAACAGATCCAATACAAATTGAAGATAGAAACACATATAAGATAAAAAACAAATGGAACATGATGTTAGAGAGCGAAGTCCCAAAAAGAAATCAGGGACGAAGTGGACCAAACGAAAAAAAAAATTAATACATGGAAGATTATATCACAGAGATTAGTGATAAATGAGTCAGTGTGAAAATAATAGTAACAATAAATAATTATCTACTGAAGATGTTTCACATGATTAAGGGCAAAATATCATCGAGAGATAAGTTGACGTAATTCACAATCTTCAATGTTGCTGTAAACAACACCATGAATATATAATTTCTACGCTTTAGTTTATGTTCGTTTGACAAATGTATGCACCTTTTCAATAATACTAAATAAAAAGAATGCAAAATACACATTAAAGTTTGCATTTACTGATGCTTCAAATTGTGTTTTCGTGGTTTATCGTGGTGCTTCTAATTAAATATCATTAGCGTAACCAAGGACGTCGTAATAATGAACTCATCATTAAGCGATTGTTAAATGTGTTTACAGTGTTTAAAGCATGAATGATGAACTAACCGTGACAATGTTAATAATTCCGAAAAACACAACAGGATTATTTACTTTTGATACAAAAGCGTACAAACTGAATTTAAAAAATACAACTTTAAGTACCAAGGAGTCCTGATTCTCATATTTCTTTTATATTTTTAAGTTCTTCTTGAACTCTGAAAAAGAGGTAGACAATTGGACAATGACCCATCTTTTAATCTAAAGAGTGGGTCTTTTGGAATAACGTCACAGTGATAAAATAACATTATATACGCTAATAATATTTGTATCCGATTAGATAACACAATAAGAGAATTCGTGATTAAATACTAAAAAATGTGTAAATACGTAGATTTTGGCTTTACATTTATCCATAGCTTCACAGGAATTAGTAGCGAGTCTGATTGCAAAACAATGAAGTAATCAGAGTCGTATTACGGATATCAAGCATGCTGTAATTGATTAATTCGTTGAATGTTTTGTTATGTAAATTACTTAATAAGTAAGTAATTGATTCTGTATTAAAAAGCGAATTCGAAAAGCTCAAAACGCTTACTTGAAAAGCGCTTAAATATTGATGACTTTATTCGCCCTTTTGCAAACTAGTGGTGGTTCTAAGGAGTTATTCATAAACGTATGAGTTAAACCATTAAAATTTATGGTTCCCATTTCCAGTTTTTAGTATGTAACTCTTTAAAGGTGTATGTTTAGAGTGCGGCGCTATACGGGTGCGAAACATGAACGGTGGGCGCGGCGGAAAAGAAAAGCTTAGAAATGTTGAGGATACCGTGGATAGAGAAGAATAGGAGAACACAGGACTCTATGGTGGTGAATAAGAAATAGGCGAAATAGGTTGGTAGAACACCGTCTTAATCATGAAGAGTCAGAGACATATTAGAAGCGGAAACAGGAGTTAAGAGGAGTAGAGCTAGATCTAGATTAGATTACTGTTCACAAACAATTAAGAATGTGGGATGTTCTAGTTTTAGGGAAATGCGAAGATTAGCTCAGGATAGGAAAGAGTGGAGGTGCGTGTCCAAGCAATTTTAGGACTGACGACCTTATGATGATGATAATGAACTCTTTAATAATTAATTGTGCAGAAGTTAGTATAATCGCCTTAATTTGACAACAATACACACTGGCGTATTTTGTGGGCTTTGGATTTTTTCTTTTCTTTTTATCAAGTGTTTTGATGGCATACTGGCTAATATTTTAACTGACTTTGATCTCATTTTGATCATAAATTAATGTGTTGGTGAATTCACTTCCTTGCTCCGATTATTCAACTTTTCCAAACATAGATTACAGATTGGAAATCAAAGAGAACAAATTTTTTGATCGATTTGATCGATCATTTGATGTAGAACGTGACTATAGAAACTAGTGAGTTGGAAATTTCTTATTTATTCTGTTGCCCTCTGCATTCAGATGTAAAATGTAATGAGAAACAAAAACCCAAATGTTTTTGTTTGATGACTACCCAAATATCTTTTGTTCTTTGGATGATACATTTTTTTATCTTTACAAATATATTCTTAGTTTCGGTAGGGTCAATGTATGATTGCTATTGAACATATGATTTTGTTGAAACCTACTGAATCAGGCGACCATGGTCTTTTAAATAAAAAGTTTTCGTAAACTCCAATAAGAAACTGAAAACTTACCATTTAGGGGTTAGACCGTTTCAGTGATATGGCCGAAATGACAAGCATTACAGTAATACTTTTAAATTTAACGAATTGTATTAGTTCGTATGTTACGTGCTAGAATTGAGAAGTTCCTTACCATGCATTTCAGGTATTACTGATGTGTCTGCCAATTCAAGAAGTTCGTGAGGATGTTCAGCATATGCTGCACATAGTACGAAAGATATGAAAGACAAAATACTTTGGAAAATGCCGATAAGTATTGTTGCCTTCTTCAAACCCAGTCCGCAAAAGTATTCCGTCATTTCAGTTGTCATTTTTGCTTATTTTCTTTTGAAAATGATATATCTGTAATATCATACAAGCGTTAAAAAATTGTTTAAAAATTCTTCTTATCGTGGTAGGAAAATAACAGTGCACAGCATTTTATGTGTGCAAAGAAAAAAGGGTACCTACTGATTACAATTTTATAGGTTGATTTATTGCGTTGATAGCAGTAATCGTTTTTTATTGAATATATAACGTTATTCAATTAGAAACTAAAAATACATTTCGACACAGATGTAACATACAACAAAGTCATGAAGATTATTATCATGAATACTTCAACTTCGCCATTAAAGCAGGGACGTAGCTCTAGGGGTGAGCCAAGACTTATGAATTGAAAGTCCTATCTCATTCTTAATACCAACCCAACCCGACATTAGCAATTAATAAAACGTACAATTTAATTCGGCACGCATTAAACTTGACTTAATTCAAGACGCTTTGTTTGATTTAAAATTATGCAGTTTTTATTTATTTATGTAAAAAAATATTACTTTGTTCAAAATCATGAGCTTTCGCGATTTATCTCTCGATGTATGTGATTGCTAAATTACATACACCTAAGAAAATTTCATTTCCTGACTGAGGGGTAGTGAAATGTAGAATATAAACAATATGGGAGGAAATGGACATGCTGTCTGAGACATTTTTTTACTTTTCCTGCCTAGGTAGTAGTATTATTACATAACTGAGTTTTGTAAGATATACACTTAAGGTAGGTCATTTTTATAGAGTCATGACGTTTTGGGAAATAGGAAACTTGAACTATGCCGAAAAAGAAGCTGACTACATACCTGCATTAAAGTTAAGTAAATATGTGTATATAAACTATTGCTTATGAAAAAACGAAAGCTGTTCGTACCTATACATAATATCTTAAGTAGACTTGAGGTCAATAAAAGACTAAACAATTCAATATAATTAATTTTGTGTTCTCAATTCTTACGTTTTACGTACTTATTTGCTAGTTCGATGATGTATAATTTATATTTCAAATTTTTTGTTCTGTAATATCAACCATTACAATGAAAAAATATGTTTTGCCTACTTACTTATTCACCTATTTCTTTCACAGAAGGACTGCTAACTATGAAGTAAAATCACCTTGAAAACTTTAAAGTTAATTTCTAACAAATTTTTGTTGTTACAGTTAAACTTACTTGGAGCTATATGCTAATGGGTACACTTTAAATTTACCAAACAATGAATACGCTTAAACCTTTGTGGTAAGAATTTTGTCTAGATTTCTTGTGTTACCAGTTCTATCCAAGCACTAATACGTACACATACCGTTCACATACTCGTATAAAGCGTTAGCGTGGGCACTCACTTCAAACAGAGGTGAAATCAGTTTTATTCCAAATGTCCTCGCGACCAAACAACAATAGTTGAGCCAGAATTGCACTCGCTTTACGAATTAAAAACTGTGAAGGTCTTTAAAAACGGAAATCGTTATAATGAAAGCGACTGAACCGATTCAATCGGCTCTCTCCAAGTCGGCATCTCTCTAGATCGAAATATTCCAAACATAACTAAAAATTAACCATTTTTAAAATCCGATTTCGTAATTCAACTTTACCAATTTGCCACTCTAGCACTTTTAACAAACCTTTTAGATAAACTAATCGAACAGCTTCTTGTTTTACTGTAGGATGCTTTTACTAATTAAGACAATATAGAAACGTAATTCTTTTGCATTAAACAAGTAGTGTGCAGTTGAAGTTGCCCAGAAAAAAAAGAATTTGCTTATTCTGCAATCTCGTTATAGTTGACTGATTATGTTCATTAAATTTGTTGGGTTTGTTAACTGCATTTTCCATCTAAACTCTGTTCTGCGGAATGAGCGATAAATTAATTAGCTCCAAACGCAAAAAATATACACACTAGGTTTTACATGATTAAAAACAAAGTAATTTTTTTTACAATTCTGTTTCTAAAAAATGTTGTTCTGTTAGTTGGGTTGCAGTATTAGCTTTGGTACATTTTACATGAAAGCTTTAAAAAGGTCAAATCGTTACGTTAATTTTCGAGTGGACAGAATTTTATATTTTCTTTTACAAGTTAGCAAAAAAATAAATAAAAATTCCATGTTTTGAAGTTTTAGTAGAAAATTCTTTGAAAAAATGGCATGTACCTTCTGTTGGCATAAAAGTGTGAAAGCTAGCTGTGACCTTGAAGTAGCTATCTGAAATGAAAATGAAGATTTCCCACCCTTATGCCATCGAAAGATTCTTTCCAATTTATTTACAACGGCATAACTAAAACTTCCTATCTTTTCATTAGCATGCAATTTGGTAACACGTTAAATTTTATATTATTTTTTTTATAAATGCATTCGGCCGTTGTAGCCCTTTTTGGGCTATTGCAGATTGAATGCCTTGCAGTACTAGGCCTTAAAACACCTTTAACCAACTTACGATACATACATGGCATACAATATGAAAACTCAACTCCTTCTGAAAACAAAATCCTAATTTTATCTTTTTTTTAATTTTCACTTAGATCGGTCAAGAGCAATTGATCTTTTTTATTGAGGGGTAAATTATCAACCCCAAAAAAGGCATGCGCTATAAGATTGAGGAACTCCACCTGTCAACAGCTCCATGTCTGTTATTACTGAAATGAAAATATTGTTGAATACTCTTAATAATTCCACATAAATACACACATTCCCCTATTGACAATAGAACCCATATCGTAAAAGAGGAATTTTAAAAATGCGTGCTAGTTTCTCACGATTGATCGATGTCCCCCTCGTAATAAGGAGTCGTTGGTTAAAAATTTTAATAATTAACATACTAATAATAAAGGAAGACTTCGTGCAGATATCAAAGACTCGACAACATGTAATTTTTTTTCACACACGCTACTCGGCAAATTGCCGACGTCATTGTTAGGAATTACTGCAAGGATTCAAAAAGCTATTGTTAAATGTAACATGCTCTATACTTTCGTAATAAGTAGTAGTATATAGTCTATGCTTTTTTAACTTTTATTAATTACTACATAGTACTTGTTAGTTATACATTATCAGGTATGTAAACAGTGGAATCATTAGAAGATTAGAGTAGAAAAAATCGAAATATTTGTAAAAGACTTAAGAAAGTCCTTATGGTTACTTATTATTTCATTTCTAGTGAAGAGTTTTAAGTCACTTCTATGATTGCGAACGGTTAATTTAGAAAGCCAAAAAAATTTTAAAGGTGTAGGTATGCCTCGAGTAAGGCTCTGTACGGGTGCGAAACATGGATGGCAGGCTTGACGAAAAAAAAGGTTAGAAGCGGTGTTATAGGCGAATGATGAGGATACTGTGGTTAGAGAGGGTTAAAAATGAAGAGGTATTAGAAAGAGTAAGAGAACGGAGTCAATAAGAAGCAGGCGACTCAGCAGAAACAGGAGTTTAGAGGGGTGAGGTAGACCTAGATTAGATTACTTTTCACAAACAGTTAAGGATGCGAGGAGTTCGAGTTTTGAGGAAATGTAAAGATAAGTTCAGGGTAGGAAAGAGTGAAGAAGTGAAGAGTGTCCAACCAGTTTTAGGACGTACGACCTTATGATGATGATGCAGACATCTAAAGATTTTCGCGTTTCATCTGACATGTATTAAGTTTTCTTTAAAGTGTAATATAAACGAATATCGGCGAGCAGTATTTGTACAAAGTTTTATCATTTGTTTGCTCTATCTACTGACCTACTACAGATTTGATCAATAAAATACTTCGTTGAAGTATTCGTGTTTAAAACAGTTTAGTAACAATCAACTATTATCAAATGCAAGTTTTCTTTATTTTGGAATTTGATTTGCTGTAAACTTGTTAGCAGTTACCGTAAGTTTCCACTAACGTCAGTTGAAGTTTTTATAATTCAGTAGATAGAGTGAACAAAATAAAAAAGCTAAATATTAGCTTTATTTACATTTTTAAGAAGATCTGGATAACAATGTAAACTTATAAGTAGTATTTCTTAGAGTCTTCATAAATGTAAAAGTTTAGATCGCCTGCACAGGGTTCTGTAGTTGATCAAGCAAGTTGTCATCCATGAAAGGATTTCGAAACTTTACAATTCTTTAACCCAATACACTAAAAGAGATAGTACAGATAAAATGAATGATCGATTTCAAAGTTTAATAACTCATTAGTTTAAGAATAAAGGCTTTCACGGCCGGAATTCAGACGTTTCGTCAGCTACTGCGGCTGACATCCTCAGTGGTAGTGCTGCGTTGACAACGTGAACGTAGATTATATATCTCGAAGTCTCGAAAGCGACTGGGTCAGCCATCTTCATTCTACTAACTCATTAGTTGTTATATATATCTCTCATACCAAATCAATGAACATAAGTTCAATGTGTAATTGGTCATTAATTGACCTTAGACAATGGGATGTTAAAGAACAGACCCAAAAATTGACGGAAGTTTCACTTATGTAAACTTTGGTATAATGACATGAAAAAGTTCGATAATTGGATCGAAGAAGTGAATCCATTCTCGCAACAGTATATAGCAAATTCGGTTAGAAAACTAAAGGTTGCATTTGCTATCAATAAAACAAAAGGAAAAATCAAACCAAAACAAAACAAAGTGTAGTGGCTGTTTTGAAACACTTGACCTTCCTTAGACGTATAGTTGAGAAGCTTTTAAACTGATAAATAAAAGTAGGAAGACTTGAGTTATTAAACTTGACGTTTATTTTATTTATTTCGTTTTATTTTATCTTTGAAAGATTCAAAACTGCTTAATTATCACTTAAAATTAAAAAATTAGTAAGTGGTTGTGATTACAGTAGATTACGGAATGTCTGTTAATTTTTCTTGTTTTTTAAGATACATGAAGATTGGAAAAACTTTGGCGGTTGTTGTAGAACAAACAGAATAGCTCAAAACCCCAACGCCAAAACACGACACTGTAGTTGTCCGAAGCACTTTTCTGTAACAAAGTTACCTTTTTCAGGGACTGAAGTAAACTGTAGTTGAGCTATTCTGTTTGTTCTGTTTTTTAAGAATTAATATCCACCATTTTCATGATATAAAATTTAAATAAATTAATCAAATCCAAGCATTTTGTGTGTTTGAATGAATTAATTGAGTCCAGTCAACTAGTATATAAGAAAAAGAAGAAACTTTTAAACTATTAGAATCAAGCTTCAGAAATTATGCACCAATGCCTATTCAAGAAACCATAATTTACGCTTTGCATTAGTGTGTAATTAAGTGCGTATAGGTAAGAAAATGGCGATACTAATTCAACGGTGACATTACCTTGTACAAATTCGCTTGTCATTCATTATTACATTTATTCGTATTAGTTCGCTTTGTTATATTATCATCCCCCACTTTGAACTTGACAGTGGTACCTATTGGAAGTTTCTGTATTAGTAACGGTCAACCTATTAGTAAGGTACACTACATTACATCGACTTATGCATGAGAATAATCGAATCATACAAAGTTATAAAAATTATTTCGAATTTGACTAAAACAAACAACATGACCTTTGCCGGTAAAGTTGCTATAGCCTCTGGAATAGTATTTGTTGTTGTTGTTATTTTTGGATTTATAATGTTTCCGAAAATGGTGAAAAGTAAAGTGAAGCAAGTACGTATAAAAATAAATAAAATTAATTTAATTCAACACTATTAAAGTGGTGTACTTCTTGTTTTTCTTCATTAGCAAGTAGCACTAAAACCTGGTAGTGAAATAAGAAAAATGTACATGAAGACCCCGTTTGCTTTGGACTTTAAAGTTTATATGTTTAATATTACTAATGCCGAAGCCGTACTTAATGGGGAGAGTCCAGTGTTAGATGAAATTGGACCCTATTGTTACGAGTAAGTCAAAAAGCACCGTACTTAGAATTTCAAGTGGAGGAAATAATTACAGAATTTGACATGATGGAAATAATTAAAACACGACTTAGACCAATGGTACAAACTTGCATTTACCAAGTCTGGTTATACATTTTTTGAGTCAATTCAAAATAATTTCATCAATGTTTCACATTAAAAATGTATTCTATTAGGACATATTTTAGGTCCCACATACATCATAATTTAATTTTGAAATAAATGAACAAGAACAAATTTTATTTATGTAAGGGTTTTAATTTTCAAAAATTTTGAAACTAATTTCAAAACTCATTTTTCAAGGAATCAGAACATCATGTTTCTAATTTTAAGATTGCATGTCACTGGACAAATTTCATTAGAAGACGATGATAAATTCATAATCATCAAATCGATTATTAAACGTAATGTTCATCAGCCTCTATAATTATAAACAGTTCTAGACATCTTCAGCCATTAATAGTTATGGCTAAGTACTTTATGAATTTTCAAATAAATGACTATGCAGTTGCAATTTTGGTAAATATTTAAAAATAACAATTTATCGGTAATACTAATTCTCTAAACGTTGAAGTATGTGAATATTTGGGTTATTTCTAATTGCCACAAAACAATAGAAAATAAGATAGCCCAAATAATTCTTATTGAAAATAAATCATAAATTGATTTCTGTTTTCGTTTCGATATACTTTTGTTCCTATCTTAAAAAGAAAAGTGTATTGAAAAGGTAGTTTTTAAAAGTAACGACACCTTTTAGTAGTTGTTTACTTGGTTACTCATCCAATGTTTCAATGCATTTTGTTAAAACTTTTTTAATCAATATTTCTAATTGTCATAAACTTACAGTTTGTGGAAAGAGAAAGTCGATCCTATAGACAATGAAGTTAATGACACTCTAACATATAAGGGAAAAATGACGTGGATTTTTAATAAAGCCAAATCCGCACCATTAACAGGGGATGAAATGGTTACTATTCCACATCCGTTAATTCTGGTAAATTATTGCTTTTAAAAAGAACTTAAAGATAAAACAGTGATCAATTATTTATTATTATCGAAACCAGGAAACGATTTATTAAAAAGGGTAACAATGTTAGGCTGGGTAACATAAAAAGTAACTACGTATTACAACTAAATTTTTTAGTTAGTCAATAGAAAGTTTGTTTTTCTTTGCGAGAAATAAGCAAGTAAATAATTAATTTAACACAATAAAAAAAATATTTAACTTCCATAGTAACTGAAAACTTTTCTTGGATATACTTCTTCAAAGTCAACAAAGTTTGTCTTAGCAAGAACGATACATTTAAATGATAAAAAAGTTGTTTCATTTTTTAGACTTCTACTTTTTTTGTTCATAGAGTATAAAGTACCTATTTTATTTACACTGTAACCAATATGCATTAAAAAACAACCACCACTAATAAGATGAGTTGGTTCAGTTTTTAATAAACCGCAGGGCATAGCTGTTGCTGTTGCTAGGGACAAACCAGCAATGTTATCGCTAGTTTCGAAAGCATTAAATTCAATCTTTAATAATCCACCATCGCCCTTCATTACCGCTACAACGAACGAAATCCTCTTCGAAGGTTTGACTGTTTACTGCAATGTGACGGATTTTGCTGGGAAGGCGGCTTGCGCTCAGATAAAATCGGAAGCAAAAAATGTAATATACATCAGCGACAAGATATTTAAATTGTCCTTTTTTGGAGATGTAAGTAATGGAACATTTATTTTCAGTCATTTTCATTACGTTTCACGAAATACAATAAAACATTACCCGGTTAATATTTAATATTTTTCTCGTTAATTTGAGGTAATTTTCAGCGAATNATAGGAGGTGCGAATAAAAATTTAATTTTAGACATTAATATTATAACATTACTTACATTGGCAAAATACTGAAGCTCTAAAAAAAACATTTGAAGGAAAAGAAGAGGAAAATGTTTTTCAATAATCTGTCATCTTCATTCTTTTCAAAAGTAGTTTCCTTTCATGTTTATTGAATATACCTAGTGCATTGATTTTATATTGTTTCGATTTAGAAAAACGGTACGGTTGATGAGAGGCCATTCACGGTTAAGCGGGGATTAAAAAATTATAAGGATATTGGAAGGGTTGTTGAGTTTGACAATAAACCAAATATGAATGTTTGGCCCACAAAGGAGTGTAATGAGTATCACGGTACTGATTCGACAATTTTTCCACCCCTTCTTCAAAAGGAAGAAGGTATTGTCGCATTTTCCCCCGATATTTGTAGGTAAGACTATTTGTTTATTCTCTGTCAGTATTTCGATAGGAAATTTAATTGTTTCTAACAGTAAGATTCAGGAGTTTACAGCAGGTTAACGATCGATTGTTAAATATTAAATAATCGCCTATGAATTTCTAATTACAAGAAATAAGGTAAACTTTTACTACATTTTATTAACTCATTCATTCAATGCACCTTATTAGCGTATAATTAAGGAAAGAACTGATTACCTACTCATACAAAATTTTATAAAGGCGTTACAAATTCCGACTAAGTATTTGAATTTCATTGAAATTCCTCTTTGTTACTATAACCAGTAAATATATGCACCTACGAAATGTTTCTGTACTAAACACAGACTGATTTTTTGGTTTTTAAAAATTTATCAAAGTAAGTTGAAAACTATTTGAGAAGCAATTATAATTGTTCTCAAGATAGACAAAAATTCTTGGATATACACGGTGAATCCCTAAGCCGAAATCGGTCATTCATACACGTATATTTCAAAATAGAAAAAAGCATTTCAAATAAAAGTTGTATAAAGTTAAGTGTATAATATCGTAAAAATATTATCAAATGTGATAAACTTCCTGTTATACCGGAAATCCACAGTAACTTCGTTATCCTAAATTATTACATTTTTGAATTCCCTATGAAAAACAATATCAGTTTATTAAAATAAATTGAACCTGGTTCGCACCTTTCTGGAGTTATTCCACATTTCTAGGAAAATTTGACGTTTATAGTGTTTGGCGCCATTTTAAATATTTACACTGTAACCAATATGCATTAAAAAACAACCACCACTAATAAGATGAGTTGGTTCAGTTTTTAATAAACCGCAGGGCATAGCTGTTGCTGTTGCTAGGGACAAACCAGCAATGTTATCGCTAGTTTCGAAAGCATTAAATTCAATCTTTAATAATCCACCATCGCCCTTCATTACCGCTACAACGAACGAAATCCTCTTCGAAGGTTTGACTGTTTACTGCAATGTGACGGATTTTGCTGGGAAGGCGGCTTGCGCTCAGATAAAATCGGAAGCAAAAAATGTAATATATATCAGCGACAAGATATTTAAATTGTCCTTTTTTGGAGATGTAAGTAATGGAACATTTATTTTCAGTCATTTTCATTACGTTTCACGAAATACAATAAAACATTACCCGGTTAATATTTAATATTTTTCTCGTTAATTTGAGGTAATTTTCAGCGAATAAAAATTTAATTTTAGACATTAATATTATAACATTACTTACATTGGCAAAATACTGAACCTCTAAAAAAAACATTTGAAGGAAAAGAAGAGGAAAATGTTTTTCAATAATCTGTCATCTTCATTCTTTTCAAAAGTAGTTTCTTTTCATGTTTGTTGAATATACCTAGTGTATTGATTTTATATTGTTTCGATTTAGAAAAACGGTACGGTTGATGAGAGGCCATTCACGGTTAAGCGGGGATTAAAAAATTATAAGGATATTGGAAGGGTTGTTGAGTTTGACAATAAACCAAATATGAATGTTTGGCCCACAAAGGAGTGTAATGAGTATCACGGTACTGATTCGACAATTTTTCCACCCCTTCTTCAAAAGGAAGAAGGTATTGTCGCATTTTCCCCCGATATTTGTAGGTAAGACTATTTGTTTATTCTCTGTCAGTATTTCGATAGGAAATTTAATTGTTTCTAACAGTAAGATTCAGGAGTTTACAGCAGGTTAACGATCGATTGTTAAATATTAAATAATCGCCTATGAATTTCTAATTACAAGAAATAAGGTAAACTTTTACTACATTTTATTAACTCATTCATTCAATGCACCTTATTAGCGTATAATTAAGGAAAGAACTGATTACCTACTCATACAAAATTTTATAAAGGCGTTACAAATTCCGACTAAGTATTTGAATTTCATTGAAATTCCTCTTTGTTACTATAACCAGTAAATATATGCACTTACGAAATGTTTCTGTACTAAACACAGACTGATTTTTTGGTTTTTAAAAATTTATCAAAGTAAGTTGAAAACTATTTGAGAAGAAATTATAATTGTTCTCAAGATAGACAAA